GGAGCAGCAGGAGGAGGAGCAGGAGGAGGCAGGGCTGGGCAGCCCCACCTGTCCAGGTGGAAGGCGGCGATCTCCGCGTTGTGCCGCTGGAAGTCCACGAAGTAGAAGAAATCCTCAGGAGTCTCCTCGTCGCGTTTCTGCCTGGGAGAAAGCAGAGGGTGAGCCTGGCCAGGCCGGGCACTGGGTGGCACAAGGACAGGTCACCAGGGACACCAGGGTCACCAGGGACACCAGGGACACCAGGGACACCAGGGACACCAGGGACACCAGGGACACCAGGGACACCGGCTCTGTGGCCACTCCAGAGCCAGAGTACTCCGTGCCCAGCCGCAGCCGTCACACTGAGCAAAGCAGAAGAGTTGGCTGGGGGCTTCAAATCTGCTTGGGCAAGAGCTTTTTCCCTCAGGAGAAAGGTTCAGGGGGTGTTTGTCACACCCCCCTGGAGGCAGAGCAGGGCTCAGGTCTGATGCTCTCCTATCCCTGAGGTGGGAACTCCATTTAATTCCATTTTCTGCCTGTCGCACAGTGCCCCAGGAGGTGCAGCACGGGAATTTGGTGCTCAGGCTTAACTTCTGGAAATGGGGTGTTAACTCCTGGGAAAGGGGGTGTTAACTCCTGGGAATGGGATGGGATGTTAACTCCTGGGAAATGGGGTGTTAACTCCTGAGAAATGGGGTGTTGAGTCCTGGAAATGGGTGTTAACTCTTGGGAAATGGGATGATAACTCCTGGAAATGGGGTGTTAACTCCTGGAAATGGGATTTTAACTCCTGGGAAAAGGCGTGTTAACTCCTTTTGGAGTTCCTGGGAAATGGGGTGATAACTCCTGGAAATAGGATGATAATTCCTGGGGAAGGGGACAGGACACAGGAAATCCCTCCTGGCTCTGCAGGGCATGGATGCTTTCCTTGCCCTGCAGGACCTGCTGGGCACTGGGCAGAGGTGGATGGAAACCCACGGGAGAGGAGCTGGAGCCCTCTGGGTGAGGGTGTGATCCAGCTGCTCTGCTCACACAGGGACACTGAAGTGAGAGGGAGTAGATGTGAAGAGCCCCACGGGGCTGCAAATAAGTGCAGAAGCAATTTAAACCCCCTGTTTGATGGCTGTTTCTTGGAAACACACTGGGGAACCCAAGGAAAACCAAGGTAAACCCCAACATCTGCTGGGGAAGAGCAGTCCCTCACGGCAAAGATCTCAGGAGAACAAGTGTCCCAAGGTCCTTCTCCACCTGGCACCCACGAACTGGGGAATTTCCAACATCAACAGCGCTGTGGGAACGCTGGTGTTTATCCGTATGTGCTCCTGGGATGGGGTGAGCAGCCAAGAATAATGAAAAATAATGGAACCCTTTCAGCTGCCCAGGTAGCGAGGAAGGAGTGGCTGTGGGGTGGCTGTGGGGTGGCTGTCCGTGCCAAGGAAGGTGCCAGCCCGCCCTGCAGGGGCTCAGGGGGGCTCTGCTGGCCTTACCTCATGGGCTTGAACATGGCTTTCCCAAAATCCTGGAACCTGAGGACCAGCTTCAGGTGCACACCGCTGGGCTTCACCACTTGGGGAGGAAAAGGGGTGTTAGCTCCTCGGAATGGGGTGTTAGCTCCTGGGAATGGGGTGTTAGCTCCTGGGTAATGGGTGTTAACTCCTGGAAATGGGTGTTAACTCCTGGAAATGGGGTGTTAATTCCTGGGAAATGGGTGTTAACTCCTGGGAAATAAGTGTTAACTTCTGGAAAGGGGCTGTTAATTCTTGGGAAATGGGGTGTTAGCTCCTGGGAAATGGGGTGTTAGCTCCTGGGAAGGGGGTGTTAACTCCTGGAAATGGGGTGTTAACTGCCTAGAAATGGGGTGTTAACTGCATGGAAACACCCCAGTTACATCCCCAGCACAACCCGGCTTTCCTGCCCCGTGAGTGCATCCTGTCACTGCTTCCAGCTTCTCCCTTTTCTCTCTTTCCATTTATTTTCCTCTCCCTTCTGCCATAGAGAAGATTTCCCTCCAGCCCCGCTGTTACATCCCCTTGGGGACTTTTTCCTCCCTCCCCAGTCGAAACCAGTGCTGTACTGGTATCCTGACACCCACATCGAACAGGCTGCTCATGGAAATGGTGGAATCATCACCCCTGGGTGTTAAGAAAAGCATGGACATGGCGCTTGGGTTGGACTCCATCATTCTGGATGGCTTTTCCAACTGGAACAACTTGATGCCCTATGATCCCAGCCTCTGCCGGGCTCTGCTGGGGGTTCATGGCAGGGAGCAGAGCCTGGCTTGGCGTTTCCCTGGCCGAGGTGAGGACGGAGCAGCCGGGATGGCACGCAGGGATGCCGCACTCACCCTGGCTGCAGTCACAGGCTCCCAGCAGCGCCTTCTCGTCCTGGCTGTAGTCTGCAAGGGCAGGAGGAGCCGTCAGACCCCGCCAGGCTCCATCCGCTGCTCCCCAGCCCCGGCGGGAGCCTGCCCTGCCCAGCCCCGTGTGCTCACCGGCGCTGATGGTGGGCAGCTCCCGCAGGTCCCGGAGCAGCCTGGAGACCGCGGGGCTGGAGCGGGGGTAGAGCCCGTCCCGGCGGATGCCCAGCTGGAACTGCAGCCAGCCCGCCTCGGGGCGCAGCGGCAGCGGCGCCGCCGGCGAGGTCAGGTTCAGCTCCTCCCGGTACAGCTTGTGCCTCCTGCAAGAGAGATGCTCTGGGGGTGAGGATGAGCCACGGAGTGGGAAACATCCCTTCTCCGAGCCTGGAGGGTGCCAGGAGCAGAGCGAGGGGTGGGTAAGGGGAAACTGAGGCAGGGGGAGATGGCTGAGCTGGTCAGTCTCTGACCATCTCTGAGAGAGCTTTTCCCTAAAGCTGGAAGGAAAAAAATCACTAAAATCTACAAATCGCCTCTGTGACCAAATTCACAGTGAGCAGGGATGCTGCGAGGTCATGTGGCAGCATCCTGCCCATGATCTCTGAAAATCAAGGTTCAACCCCACCCTTTCTTGGTACGTGGAGCTGAAGGAACCTCCCAGGTTGGGTAATAACTCCCCACTCGATCAGCATTTTCATGGAGACCTCCAGGGCTGGGACTGTGCAACTGAGAGGTCACTAATTGCAGCCAGCAGAGGACAGAGCTCTGGTTTCTCATTAACGTTGTCCAGCTCGCGTACGCAGCAGCCAGTCCTGATACAGGGAAAATGAAGTTCAGTTTACACTGAAAGTGCCGGGATCCAGCCATGAAAGCAAACAGGAGCTGGGGCTGATAAGGAGTAGGACATTAACCCAGGCTGGACAGGAGGAAGTGCCACATGCCCGGCCAGCCCCATCCCGAGCCTGAGCAGTGAGCTCCGACCGTGCCCGAGGCATTTATCAGCCAAGGAATGGCACTGGGGGCTGCAGAGGGCTCCTGGCTGCTGCTGGTTTCTTTATTTCCCTGCTCAGCCCAGCAGCTGGGCTTTGGCTGGGATCCTTCCATCACCTTTTGTGGGTCTCAGATTCAGTCAAAGAAAGAAACTGAGAGTTTCTAGCCAGGCAGAAGCCTGGGAAAGAATGCAAATAATTCTTTATCTCTCTTGTTGTTCACATTGTTTATAGTTAAGTTCTATCACTGTGCATCAAGCACTCTGCACCAATGGTATGGGTTGTTTTCACTTCAGGACCAATGGTACTGGTCCTCACGAAGCTCTGTATAAAAGAGCGGTGTATTTTGAATAAATCAGAGTTTTACTCTCAGCAGCCTTCTGAGTCAGTCTTCTCATTCCCATCCTGCCTCGACAGTGACAACCTTTCTCCATCCCAGCAGGCTGAGCAGTGTGGTTAATCTGGCTGTGAGCAGGGCTTGAACCCTCCCAGAGGTGTTCCAGTGGTGTGGGAAATGAATTTGTAGAGAATTCTTCAAGTTTGATAGAAAGTTCTACATAGTATGTATGTGTGTGTAAACCTTGAGATGAGAAATGTTGACTTAGAAATATTATGGAATAAGACAGACCTTATTGAGAGAAAAATAGAACTAAAAAGAAGTTTTAAAGGATAGCCTTGCAAATAAAAGTAGATAGTTTAGAAAAACAGAAGTATGAAAGATACATTGTAGTGAGACTTATGAAGAGTAATTTTAGATGATTAGCTTTAAAACATTTATAACATAGTGTATCAATACTATCCTTTGGAACTTGTTTTTAGCTCTATTTTTCTCCCAATAATGTCATATTCCGCAGTATTTCTGTCACCATTTCTTATCTCAAGGTTTACACACACATACATCCTATGTGAGCCTTCTGTCAGACTCTGAAAATTTTCCACAAATTCATTTCCTACACAGTGGTATCCTGGGAGCCCTCTAGGAGCTGGAGAGTCGGGTTGGATGTGGGAGCCTGTTCCCTCTCCCAGTGTGTTTGTCTTTCCACTGGACTGGGTCAGCCACAGCGTGAAATCCACGTGTGCAAGGTCAGAGGGAGCTGGAGCATTTCCCTCCCTGACCAGCGCTTTGCTCAGGAGGCAGAAAATTCCCTGGGCACAAGGAAGTGCCCCTGGAATGCCAACAGCTCCAGCACAAGTGCCTTGACCCCCAGCCTGCTGCCCTTCCCCTGGATAAGCGAGGCACAACATAATGAACATTAATAAGGCATTAATTAATAAATGAGGTATTAACCCTGCCACAGCCAGGGATGATAAGGCCGGTGCCATGGGCAGGAATGACTCAGGATTTTTCCCTAGGGAAGCTGCCCAAATATTTTACCATATTTGCTCTCCTGCCTGCCATGCACACAGGCTGTTCCCCCGGGGTGGCAGCAAGCAAGGGATTACCGAGGGGGAAAAAAATGCAGTGGTTATGCAAGGGGAGGCAGATCCCAGCCCTGCATCCACATGGGCCCTGCCCAGGCTGAGCCAGTCCCTTCCCAGCCCTTCAACCCAAAATACAGCTCTCTCTGCCTCCCTGCTTCCTTCAGGATTCCTGAAATGTTTCCCTAGAAAAAAAAACAGATCTCTGCAAAAGGCATAATGATATAAAAACAGGGTTCATTTCTACCCTGCTATAAATAGCCCTGGGGTTGCCCTGGCTTTCAGCTCTCTGCTGGGCTGGGAGGGAGGCACAGCGTGGGGTGACACAGCTCAGGCCACCAGCTCCTGAGCTTGGGATCTTGAAGCTGCTCTTTCAAGGATAAAAATAAGCTCTGGAGTTTTAAAGGGATTTTTTTGTTTGTTTGTTTTGAAGAGGTGTGGATGTTTTGTTGTTTTTCTGTTTTCTCCCTGTGTCCCCATCAGTCTCTCTGGCTGGTTCTGCATCCCGCAATCCAACTGCTGCTCCTGACTGGAGTGCTGGGAGCAGGCAGGGCTGGGCAGCACCGTGGAGGAGGGCACGGACACGTTCTGGCCGTGGGCATCCCAACAGGAGTGTCCTGGGCAGCTCCAGCTGGCACAGCCCCTGTCCAGCTGATGTCCTGCAGAGATGAAGGCAGCCACGGTGTGCTGGAGGAATGGGGTTAAACTGCAGCTTGTCCCACTCAGGAGAACGTCCTGCTGCTCCCACAGCTGCTCTGCCAGCACCCACACCCACGGGTGACAGAGAAATGTGCTTCACCCTGTCATGCTGAGGACAGAATGCCTGTGGGCACTCAGCCCTGAGCCTTGGCTGCCTGGCTCTGCGTGTGCAGCTGCTGTGGAGGTTTTGCTCTCCAGTCCTCAGCAGCAGCTTGGCTGAACCATGCAGTGGGAGAGAAAGCCGTGGATTCCTGGGTGCCACGAGGACCCTGCCCTGGCCACATCACAGAGGACAAGGGCTCTGCAGTGCTCCTGGTGAGGTAGAAATTGCTCCGTGCCCACAGCAAATGAACAATCTCACAAAATCCATCAGCTCTGGCCAGTGCCACCTGATTGCACATTCAATGTGCAGCACCGATGGCTGTTGGCAGGCTTTTGCAGGAGCGGTTGTGTCACCTCAGCCTCTGGAGGTTTCACCCACTTATGAGCATCATATATTTTATTTCAGAGTGACTGAGGAGTAATCAATACTCTGCCCTCCTTCCCTTCCTGGAGGTGCAAAGCGAAGTCAGCCAAGGACAAATGGCATCACCGTGTTCCTGCAGACACACCACAGCCTAACCTTGGGCCGTGGCTTCAGCACAAATTCCATTTTTCCACAGTATGGTGAATAAAAGTGGGGAATGCAGACCTCTCACTGTCCTGCAGGAGAGGCTGCAGCAAGTGCCCAGGGTTTCTGATGGTGCCATCAAGCCGTGAGCTGCTTTGGTTTAAATCCCCCATTCCCACCAGGATTTTGCTGGGGAAACATCCATCCTGGTAGCCAAATCCTGATGTCTTCAGAAGGCAGGGCTCAGCTCTGAGAAGATGCACCCAAGGTGGGTCTGTGGCACAGCCAGGGGTACTCAAAGCCACCAGCCATGGATTTCATGTGCTGTGACAAAGGGTTCAGCAGGATCCAGGCTGACTGGAGACAGGGAAGAGCCTGCCAGGGGTGACCCTGGCTGAGCACCCAGGTGGTTCCTGCTGCTGCTCAGGCCATGAAGGTGATTTCCTGTTCCTTCCATTATCGCTTCCCATCATCTCCTCCAGCAAATCTCACGTGGAACCAGCACTGGGTGAGTCCCACAGGAGCAGGAGGAACAGGCATGGAAGTGGAGAGAGCAGGAGCTTGGGAATGCTGCCTGTGCAGCTCAGCAGCCACCATGCAGGGGATGGGAGGAGTGGGGGCTGCTCCCATGCTGGAAACCAAACGTGGGCAGCGGGGAAGTGCCAGGACAGGGGTCCCTGGGGTGCCCCCAGGACATGCTGCCATCGCCTTGCAGGTGTCCTGTGGCACAGAGGGGACAGTGGGTGAGGTGGTGCCATGAGCTCAGCACGCTGGGAGCTCTGTGCTCTCTTCTGCCCGAGTTTGTGCACGAGTGAAGTTCTGGGGGTGCGGGGAGCAGCTGTGGCTGCTTCCAGCTTAGCCCGGCCCTTGTGAAAGGGGGGTTAGACCAGAGATTCAAGGTACAAATAATCAATGCTTGGAGCTGGCGCTGAGGGTCCCCCCAGGGCAGTGACCACAGGGCAGGGACAGTCCCACCCCAGGAGCAGGGAGCAGGGAGTTTCCTCCTTGCTGGGGCTGGGAGAGGCAGCAGGAAGAGGGCTCTGAGCTGGGGGTCCCTTTCTCTGGGGCCCCGGCAGTGGAGCAGGGTGGGAGACACCCCAGGAAGGAGCACCCCAGCAGAACCCCTCAGCCCAGCCCAGCGAGGGGGAGGGCACAGAGCCAGACTGGGGGGGCAGGAGGGACTGGGGGTGCCAAGGGACATCCAAGGGACAGAGGTGCCCAGAGAGCTGCCCAGAAAGGGAGGGGTACGTGAGAGGGGGTGTCCATACAGCGGGTGCCTGGGGGTGCCCTTACAGGGAGCGTCTGGCCAGAGGGTGCCCAGGGGATGCCAGGGCAGGGGGTGCCCAGAAAGGGGGTGCACAGGGATGTCTGTGCAGGGGGTGCACTCACAGAGGCTGCCTGGGCAAGAGATCCCAATGCTCAAGAGATCCCAGTGCATGGGGGGGTCCAAAAAAGGGGTGCTCAGGTGATGCCAGGGAAAGGGGTGACCATGCAAGGGGTGCCCAGGAAATGCCAGGGAAATGTGTCCCCATGCAAGGGGCACCCAGGAAAGGAGTGCCCAGGAGATATCCAAGAAAAGGGGGTGCCCATGCAGGAATGCTCAGAAAACACCCGGGAAGGAGGTGGCCAGGAGATGCCGGTGCAGTGGGTGCTCAAGAAATGGGTGCCCAGGAGATGCCCAGGAAACGAGGGACCATGCAAAGGGTGCCCGGCAGGAGAGTGGTTTGAGTCTCCCTCCCAGAAGCTGCCGGCACAGGGATTGTCTGGGAAGGGGGTGCCCAGGAGATGCCCAGGAAAAGAGTGCCCAGGGGATATTCGGGAAGGGGGTGCCACGAAGGGAGTGCCCAGGAGATACCCGGGAAGGGGGTGCCGGGGAAGGAGGTGCCCAGGAGATGTCCGGGAAGGGAGGAGAGTGCCAGCAGACGCTGGTGCACGGCGTGCTCAAGAAACGGATGCCCAGGAAACAGCCAGCAAAGGGGTGCCGGGGGAGGAGGTGAGCAGGGGATACCCAGGAAAGGAGTGCTGGGGGAGGAGGCGCGCAGGGGATGCCCAGGGAAGGGGTGCCAGGGAAGGAGGTGAGCAGGGGATACCCAGCAAAGGGGTGCCGGATGAGGAGGCGCGCAGGGGATGCCCAGCAAAGGGGTGCTGGGTGAGGAGGCGAGCAGGGGATGCCCAGGAAAGGGGTGCCAGGGAAGGAGGTGAGCAGGGGATGCCCAGGAAAGAGGTGCTGGGTGAGGAGGTGTGGAGGTGATGCCCAGGAAAGGGGTGCTGGATGAGGAGGCGAGCAGGGGATGCCCAGGAAAGGGGTGCTGGGGGAGGAGGCGAGTAGGGGATGCCCAGGAAAGGGGTGCCAGGGAAGGAGGCGAGCAGGGGATGCCCAGCAAAGGGGTGCTGGGTGAGGAGGCGCGCAGGGGATGCCCAGCAAAGGGGTGCCGGGTGAGGAGGCGCACAGGGGATGCCCAGCAAAGGGGTGCCGGGTGAGGAGGCGCACAGGGGATGCCCAGGAAAGGGGTGCTGGGTGAGGAGGCGCACAGGGGATGCCCAGGAAAGGGGTGCCAGGGAAGGAGGTGAGCAGGGGATGCCCAGCAAAGGGGTGCTGGGTGAGGAGGCGAGCAGGGGATGCCCAGCAAAGGGGTGCCAGGGAAGGAGGCGAGCAGGGGATGCCCAGGGAAGGGGTGCTGGGTGAGGAGGCGCAGGGGATGCCCAGGAAAGGGGTGCTGGATGAGGAGGCTCACAGGGGATGCCCAGCAAAGGGGTGCCGAGGCGATGCGCGGCGCGGGGGCTGCGCGGCTGCGGACGCACCTGTTCCAGCGGGCCGCCTTCCGCCGGTAGTAGCGCAGGGCTTCGCGGGCGCCCAGCAGCGGCTCGGCGGGGCCCGGCGGGGCGGCGCGGTACAGCGGGTGGGCGAAGAGGCGGCGCAGCGCGGGGGCGGCGCGGGGCGGCGGCGGGCGCGGCGCGGGGGGCGCGGGGCAGGGGCAGCCCGGGGAGCCCGGCGAGACCCTCCCCAGCTCCCGGCGCGCCCGCGGCCAGAGGTGGAAGTAGAGATCCGCGGCCAGCAGCGCCCCGAGCAGCAGCAGCACGGCCGGGCGGTCCCGCCGCGGCCCCGGCATGGCCGGTGCGGGCTGCGGGGGACGGGAACCGGGACGGGGACCGGGACGGGGACCGGGACGGGGACCGGGACGGGGACACCGCCGGCTCCCGGGGCAGGGCGCACGGGGGAGCTCCAGCGGCGGAGCCGGGGGGTGCGGGCACCTCGGGGCGGGGACCGGGCAGGGCGCTCGGGGCCCGGGGCGGGGGAGCGGGGTGGGGGCACGGCAGCGTGGGAGCCTCCCCCGGACACGCTCCCGGTGCCGGTGCCGGTGCCGGGGCCGGGGGGACCCAGCCCCGCAGCCCCGGGCTCTGCCCGCCCGCTCGCCCAGCGCAGGTGGCGAATCCCCCGCCCGCCCTCCTCGCCGGCTCCTCCGGGGCTTCGCCGCCTCTCCCGAAGGTGGAAAGTCGGCGCTGGGAGCTTCGGCAGCGGCTGGAGGGTGCCGGGGGCTGTGTGGGAGCGGGGCGAGGGGAGGGGGTTGGAGTGCCCTGGAGCAGGGGGGTCCCGCTGATCCCACGCACATCTCCCCGTGTTCTCGAGCCCCTCTGCTGGCTGCGGGCAGGGCCCGGCTGCGCTCTGTCCCCCCACAGCTGGGCTTGCAGCCCCTCCTGGGGCCGGCAGATGGTTCAAAGGCCGCTTTTATTTTCTTAATTCTTAAAAAAAATGCCCTGTAGTTGAGGAAACTCCTCCTTGCAGTTTGCTGTAGGGCCGTGGCGGTGAGCTTGGGCTGGGAGCATCGCGCCCACGCTGGGGGATGGAGAGCCCGGGGCGAGGGACGGGGAGAGCCCCGGCCAAGGGAGGAGAAACTGGCGGAGCACCGCGGGAGCGTGACCAGGCTGGGCTGGCTCCGGCCCCGCGCTGAGGGGAGAACAGAAAATAAACTGCAGAAAGAGCGAGAAGTCGGTTTTATTTTCAGCTGGCTGGAGCAGGGCTCGGTGCTGTGCGAGGGGAGGCTCTGGAAGTGCCAGCGCTGGGATGGGGGGGCTGGGCTGAGCAAAAGGGCATCGCAGGGGCTGCTGGCCGAGCGCCTGTCCTGATGGCAGAGATGCTCCTTTGATCCAGAAGGGGAGAGAAAACAATCCCCTGGGCTGCGCGGTGGCTGCAGGGACCTCAAACAGACCCGTCCTCTTGGTCTTCTGATCTTTGGCAGACGGTTCTTACTCTCCTTTAGAAATGCACTTTCCAAATTACTCAGTCTTTTGATATTTGAAGAGTTTGGGTTTCAGGTTTGGGGGTTTTTGCTCTGAATTTATTATTATTATTTTTCATAATGCCAAATTTTGTGTGTTTTCCACAGAAGATTTATAAGTACAATGTGCAGCTGCTGTGGCCAGCAAGGATCAGTGGGAGGAAAGGATGTGCTCCCCACACTGTTTGGCTTTTGGAGACACCAGCTGTGCCCCCCTCCTGTGCCCTTTGGGGACAAAATTGGTAAAATGATTGCACTTCAGGCTCTAGACCAGACATGAGGAGTGGAGAGGGGAAATTTTAGGGTGCTGTACTGGAAAGGTGTGGGGCAGGCAGGGGCTCTGCTCAGAGGTGCTGGGTTGGGGTCTGCAGGATGGGAAGGCACAGAGCTGATCCTTCTCAGGAGGGGAGAAGGAGCTCTCAGGACATGAAGTTGGGTGTAAACGGGGAAATGAGCTCCAGCTCGCTGGTCAGCCGGCTTAGGGGAGAGCAAAGGGGGGTGTGCTGCAGCTGCACACTCTGCCTGGGGACACCCTGCTCCTCCAAGGCCAGGTGACCTGGCAGCTTCCCCAAGCGGTGACATCATAAACCCGAGATGAAGCAACAGCCTGCCACTAGCAATAGGATTCTTCTTCTATTTCTTAAACTTATTTTTAAGAAGATTGCCCAGATGAAGTTAAACCCCAGGATTCACCAAACCTGGGTGAATCCCCAGGAGAAGCCCTGCTCCATGGCTACCAGCCCATTGAAGGACACCCGCAGACTCACTTCAAACTCAAAGAACAACTTTTGACAAACACTCCACCAAAAACTGGCTGATACTAGCTTGGCTCCTAATCCTCCCTGAGCTGTTTCCCCATTGCTAATCTCCCCCAGGAACCATTAATAAATCTTCCCCGGTTTGCAACGCTAATTCTGGACAAAGGCACCAGGAACCACCAGTGCCTGGGCCTGTGCCCCATGTTGTTTGCATTCTCTGCAGTGGGATTGTTTGGCTTTTAATGAGGCTAATTAAAAAGAAACAAAAAAATAATAAATCAGCCCCATTAATCTGTGATAAATTGAAGTGCTACAATCCTTCCCAAAGCAGTTGGGACTGCCAGCTCCCAACTGGCTGCAGTACAAAATCACTGTTATTATTATTTAGAACAACTCAGTGGTGTTTCCATAATGCCACAGTGATGCTTCCATAATGCCACAGTGATGCTTCCCTGCTCACCCATGGCTTGGAGCGCCTTGGAGCAGGGAATCCCACTGGAGCCTGTCCCACCCACATCTCCTCCTGTTCTGCTTTCTTGGTTCGTGGCTCTTCCTGCCCAGCTGGGGTCCCTGGGCTGCAGGTGAGCACCACTTTCCACCCCAGGGCTCAGCAGAACTCATCCCAGCCCGCTGGAAGGGGTGGATGTGTTCCTAAAATGAACCTGGAAATGCTATTTTGATTGGGCACTGACAGCTCCAGCGGAACCAAATTACCATTTGGAATTACCATGAGATAATTTGCCTCATTTACTATTTAAAAAGATGGGAGAAAAAAAAGCTCCTTCTTCCAGACAACTGCGGTGGAGAAATGTTCAGGCGTAGAAGACATCCAAAACGTATCATTAAAGCTTTAAATAAATGTATGATGACATCTCAGAGTAAGAAATACTTCCTTTGTATTTCAGATAGGAGCCAGCCAGGTCCTTTTCAAAGTCATTTTTTAATAAACAAAGGGTATTCCTCTTGTTTTTCCAGACATGCAACTTACAATATTTGGAGTTTTAAGTATGTAATTTAAATTCTTTCACAAAGTATGGATTTAAAACCCATCTTCCTTAGGGACGTCTTTGACTTGCCAAAAGGTAAATGCCTCTGTCTGCTGCTTTTTGTCTTTTTAACTTGAAATGCTGCAGAGCTGCCCAGTCCCACCCTGCAGATTGTAATGTTTGCAGAGGGGAGGAGATGAGAATTATTCCTTTCTCACTGCCGTTAATTTAGAGGATTAAACACCAAGGCAGCTCCACAGCATCACAAAGGGAAGAAAAACATCAGCTGGAGGAGCCAAGTTCTGCATTTGCTGCTTCACTGGCAAGAGCACAGACGTGCCAGGAGAACATCCTGCAGCTCTGCTCCTGCTCCTGGGCCAGCTGGGACTCAGAGCAGCAGGACCATGTTCTACCTGGTGGTGGTGGTGGTGGGGATGGTGGGGATGGGGATGGTGGTGGTGGTGATGGTGGTGACAATGGTGGTGGTGGTGGTGATGGTGGTTATGGTGGTGATTGTGGTGATGGGGATGGTGGTTGTAGTGATGGTGGTGATAATGATGACGATGGTAGTGATGGTGGGGATGAGGTTGGTGATGGTGGTGATGGTGTTGGTGGTGATGGTGGTGTTGGTGGTGGTGGTGGTGATTATGGTGATGGTGATGATGATGTTGATGATGTTGATGATGATGGTGGTGATGGTGGTGATGGTGGTGGTGATGGTAAGGATGATGGTGATGGTGATGATGGTGGTGATGACATTGGTGGTTGTTCTGGGTGTCCTCATGGTCCCCAAAGAGCACCTCCCACGCTGGACACACCAGGGCTGGGTTTTTAGTTTCCCAGGAGGGTGGTGCCTCTCATGGGGGGTTCCCCTCTGCCTGAACCCCCGGAGCTGGGGCTTCCCCCACCAGGAGGGTGTGAGAGCCCTTCCCAGTCTCTGCTGGGCTGGTGGGAGAAGCTCCTGCTGTTGCTCTGGGCTGTGTCACATTCTTTCTCAGCCTGTAACTAAAAATGAAATATTTGGGCCAAGGGCTTAAATTAAGAACACATTTTTGATAGCTAACAACACCGAGGAGAGCGCTGGAGACCCTGACAGGGCAATTAGTGCCTCTCCACTTGCATTGGAGAGGAGTCTTGAGAGATGAAGTGTGTTCACTCCAGAGGGTTTTTTGGTACAAAAATGCAGTTACAGGGTATAAAAGGAAATGTTTAGAAACACAAAAAGTGGGAATGAGTCATGAGCTTCCTTCACTGCAGGACAGGGAAAGCAGAAAGGAAGAGGTGCCCCAGGCATGACACCTCCAACACTTCCCCATCCCTGGCAGCAGCTCCCATCAGTGGTTTCATTTCCCTCCTCCCATCTACCTTTCCTCCTGGCAGCTGTTCCAGGCTCATCCCTTGGCCTCAGCGAGCTCCCAGCTGCTCAGGGTTCGGGAGTCTGGGTGGATCCTCTCCCTCTTGGCAGTGAACTCGCACAGCTAAGCACAAACCAAAGGGAAGCACCTTCATGGTCCAAGCGAGCTGCTCTTGTGTGCTGGGGCCTCCAGCACGCCTTTGCTTCCCCCTCCCTCTCTCTGTCTGAGCATCCCTGGAGCTGGCTTAGAGCAGAATCCTGGGGAGCTGTGGCAGCTTTCCATGGTCAATCCCAACACCCAGCCATCCTCTTCCAGGAGGGTGGGGCGGGCCATGAACCCTTGTGTGGGGCGGGGGGGCTGAGAAGGCTCCACCATGCTCCCAGCAGAATTTCCTGTCCAAAATCCAGCGGGTGGACACCAACCCTGAGAGCTTGGAGAAGCTCTGTGCAGGCAGAGCTGGTGGAGAAGGGTGACCTGCACGTCCCCAAGAGCTGGGATGAGACGGAGCCCAGATGTCACAGGGCTGTTTGTCTTGGACACGCTGGGGCTGACCGGGAAACGGCGCCGACCTCTTGAGCAACACCAGGGGTTTTTGGCCGGCCGGGCAGGGGCTCAGCCTGGCCTGAGTTTTCAGGATCTGATTTCCAAGAGAGCAAAACAAATCCCTCTCCAATGGACTCGGTGGCTGGAGCCAGCCCTGCCGTGGAGACGGGAGCAGCCCGTTGGTGCTGTTGGAGGTTAAAGTGCAGCAAATCCCTCTCCTCGTCTGCCAACGGCGCCGGGCTGCGCGCGCCTTGCTTAGCGAGTGTTGAGTTTGTGGAATTGCCTTTATTGGTAGTTAACTGTGTAGTGGTCTCCGTGGGACATCTGGTGCACCATTTGAAAGGAATATTCCTCAACCCTTGCTGAGTGAAATTGTTTTTGTAGACAAGTGGAGGCTTTGGGGCCATTAAGAAGATAAAACGCAGATTGTTTGCAGAGGGTTTTTATTTTATTTTAATGGCTTTTGAAGAGAGGAGCTCTTATTATTTTATTTGTTTATTGTTAGCAGGCAGAAGGGCTGGGAAAAGGCACAGATGTTCCTTCTGCTGTTGGCTGGGCCAGGCCCCAAACCCAGGGCAGAGGTTTGAGCCTCTCTCTGAAGCTGCTGTAACATTTTCCAAACCCTGAAA